GCTCTGCCTCCTTCACTTTGTCGGCCAGGGCCTGCTGATGATATGGGTTCCGGGTGTCCGAATTCCATACAGAGATCACTGTGGCTAGTTTGTCTAGGTACATGGTGGCAGATACCTCCTGGGGGTCATCCTCCATCAGTGCAAATACACTCAGCATGTCAGCCAAGTTAGCTAATGCACAACACTTCATCCCGAGGCATAGGATTCTCTTTTGGATTTGCTTCAGCCCATTAAGCAGCATGGCCAACAGTGGCATAGTAGGACCCACATCTGGGTCAGACTTAAACCTCTTTGGAGGATGAGAAAACTCATCTGAAGATGGCAAGTACTTATGGGCCATTGTCCTGAACTGGGAAAGCAAGGGGTCCTGCTGGTCACCCTTGTGCTTCATCATTTCCCACCAGACATCCAGGAAGAAGGATACATCCTTGGAAGAAGTGTCAACAGTCATGTGTTCCAGAAAGTTCTGTAGCTCTGAGCGGCAGATGGTGGTAGGAAGAGCCATTAGGAGCTGAATGAAGAGTCCAGAAGCTTCCAGAGACTTAAGCAGCTCAAAAAGGACTGTGTGGTTGATGGTAGGGATCATGTTGCCCACAGAGAAGAACACATCTTCCTGCCACCGAGTATCAGTGTCAGAAGGGCTGACAGGGGAGGGCTGAAGAACCTTCGCCCAGATGATGATCAGTGCTTTCTTCTTCCAGGCAAACGGCTGGGAATGTGCTGTGGCTGAGGAGATCTCCTTCAAGGCCTCCACAATAGGCCGCCCAACATGTTCCCAGTCAGACTTTGTCAACTGTTCCAAGGCTTTGGGGTGGAACAGCTGCTCAGCCATCAAAAAGCCCCCATGCAGAATAGTCATTTCCTCACAGATATTTAAGGGCCCTGCACAGAGAAGCCAAGAGTTAATCAAGTTTTCAGAATGGTAAGCAGGGGCTAAGAGAAAGAAACAGAGCCACTGGTTGTCTATCATTTCAAGGTTAATAAGATCTTGACATCAGGAGAGGAAGAAGGGCTCCTGAAGGGATGGGGTCATAAGGACTTGGCTGATGAATAAAACCCAGTTTCCAAGATCTCTAGCCTGGAAATCAGAACAATGGTACCACTGGGAACAGGCAGAGAGGGATTCAGAACAGGCTTCTAAGTTTCTTTTTAAGTATTTTATATTTACTTTAATTATCTGAGTCCTTTGGAGTTGGAGTTACAGGTGATTAAGAGCCACCTGGTATGGCTGCTGGGAACTAAACTCCAGGCCTCTACAAGAACCTTATGTGTTCCTTTTTTTCCCCCTCTCGAGTCAGGGTTTCTCTGTAGCTTTAGAGGCTGTCCTGGAACTCGTTCAGTAGACCAGACTAGCCTTGAATTCACAGAGATCCACCTGCCTCTGCCTCCTGAGTGCTGGGATTAAAGGCGTGAGCCACTACCTCCTGGCCCTTATGTGTCCTTAACCACTGAGCTCTCTCCAGCCCCATAGGGCAGGCTTAAAGGGAGGAAGACAAGTTCAGTTTTGGTTATCTAGAGTCTGAGGTAGAACATTTAGTGATGTCTTTCAGCAATGGCAACGAGTTAAGGAGAAAAGGCCTGATTTAAATATAGGCAGTGCCAACACTGAGAAGTTTACAGAAACCAAGGGAGTGTGAGGAGGAAAGCTGGACTGCTGAGGTAACAGTTGGAACAGGATTGGGGGACAGTGCCACCAAGTATGCATTAGAAGACATGACAGAGGCCAGTGGCATGACTCAGTGACCATCTGCACCAAGTCTGATGACCTGAATTTGATCCCTAGGCCTAATACAGCAACCCAACTCCTACAAGCTGTCTTCTGACCTCCACTGATGGTACCCATTCTCTGTGTTTACAAAGAATGTAATAATTACAAAACAAAACCTGAGGCTGGGCGTTGGTGACGCACACCTTTACTCCCAGCACTCGGGAGGCAGAGGCAGGCGGATCTCTGTAAGTTCGAGACCAGCCTGGACTACCAAGTGAGTTCTAGGACAGCCTCCAAAGCCACAGAGAAACCCTGTCTCAAAAAACAAAAACAAAACAAAAAAACAAAACCTGAGCTTTGTGATATATGAAGACACAGATGGATAGTCCATCACTGGGTGATAAGCAGCCTTTATTTGGGGGGTGTTTATTATTGTATTTTATTTTTGTTGTTGAGACAGGGTCTCACTATGAACTGGTTGGCTTTGAACTCAGAGAATCGCCTGCCCCTGCTTCCTGAGTGCTAGGATTAAAGGCATGTACCACACCCAGCTGAGCCTTTGTTTTTGAGCCCAGAGCCTTGCATATACCAGGCAAGTACTCTACCAGTGAGTTGTATCCCCAGCCCTGCCTTCCTTCTTCCTAAATACACTCCTGCTAATGGGTTTCAACATTCTGGGCCTTACAGGGAAGAAGCTCACCCAGCAGTTTCTTCCAGTCAAAAAGGACTCACTACTGAATGTTCTGGCTCTGTGGCAGGAACCAGGAAAAGTCATTCACTGAGCTAAGAACTGATAAAGACATTTAAAGAAAGGCAATATGAGAGTTTAATCAGACAATGGATTTAAATCCTAGCTCATTCATTCAAAAATGTGACTTTACACATTACTGAGTCTATTTGCATACACTAGACTATCATCTTCAATGGTATAACCAAGAAAACCACATGGCACACATCATACACTAATCACACTACTGGAACTATTTTGGTACTGTTGTTACCTTCTCCAAACATCTTTCAGGGATGGGAGAATGGAAAGTCACTATCAACAGTAATCAGACCACAAAGAGCACAAATGTTCAGTTGTTGGCAGGCCTAGTCTTTGTCTCCTCCAGTGCAGAAACAAAAGGGCACAGGTCTTTATCAAGGAGTATAATTTGGCCTAGAAACTAAAATAAGAGTCTAACAACTGGGGGCTGGAGAGATGGCTCAGCAGTTAAGAGCACTAGATGCTCTTCCAGAGGACTTGGGTTCGATCCCAGCACCCATATGGCATCTTGCAACTAACTGTAACTCTAGTAATCCGAAACCCTCACATCAATGTCCATAAAATAAAGTTAAGTAAATTGTTTTTATAAATTATTTTTAAAAAAAGAATGTAACAACTAACTGGTCATGGTCACTGTTCCTGACAACTCCCACCCATTCCCAGGGCCCAGAGATGCCTAACCCTTCCTTCCCTCATGCTCAGTCCCCCATGCTCCAAGGAGCATATCTTCCCCATTCTCATAGGTCGGAGTCAGCAGCAAAAATACTGACCCCCAGGGCCAGTTGTGGTGGCCCAAGCTTCTAATCCTAGCATGGGAGGCAGACTTCTATGAGGCCAGCCAAGGTACATTGTGACACCTTGTCTCAAACCTCCCCTATCCCCAGGGGGGAAAAAATACCGACTCCAAGGAACTAATGAATCTCTTGGCCACTAACCATTTACACACACACACACACACACACACACACACACACACACACACACACACCAAAAGTCAAGGATAAGCACTCCTACTAAACCCAGGCCTGAAGGCAATGCACCTTGGCTTCCACAAAGCAGAAGGCTCAGAACTAGGCTGCTGTGGCAGGGTTCCTTCTGGCTCAGGTTGTTCTGCCTGCCCCCAACACCATTCCTTCATCAGCTTAGTAGATGTCTGCCCACAAACATGTACCTTTCAGACACTGTGTACCTGCGGCTTGACAAAGTCCCAGACTCAGCTAATAGCTAGGGGAAAGTGAAAGGCTTTATCAGTGGCTGGTGCTAGGAAGTGACTGCTTACTCTGGTAGGCACTGGGCTTGTTGGCGTACATTGTTTTTCCCCCTGAGATAAGATCTTGTTATGTAGCCAGGACTGGCTTGAAACTATATAGAAGAGCAGGTTGGCCTAGAACACTCTTGAGATCCTCCTGTGTCTGCCTCCAGAGTGCTAGTCAGACAAAAGCCTCCATACCCAGCTTTACACCTATAAAACCATTTGATCATCCAACTAACTTCTTGAGGATTATCACTCCTATTTTAGAGATGGAAACCTCGAGGCCCAGACGCAATTTGTGCTGGGTGTGTGAGTCAGCGGAGTCAAGCCATGGCAGAACTCTTGACAGCTGCGGGGCATGAAACTACCTAAAGAGCTGGCTAAGGACAAAGACATTTCTCCATAACTTATTATTTGCAAATCTTGGAGTAACTCCCGGGACAGCCTCCCTGTCTTACCCTCTAAAGAGCACACCTAGCAGGGTGGGGAGGCTTGGCTGATGGCCACAGATTCCTATCAACGGCGCTCTCCTTCCAGACCTCGCCTAGGAGACTCCAAACCAAACGGCACTGGGATTCAAAAAGAGAGCTGCTGCAATCCCTGCTCTCTCAAGCGAGGGTTGCGGGACGCCGCTGTGTACAAATCACCGTAAGGCGCCCAGTTATGCACATGGTCTCAAAGAAACTCCGAGCGTCTGGGAGGAAGGCAGTATCAGCATGTCTGCTTTGTGGACCAGGAGACCTGCTAAGAAACTTGTTCACTGACTCGGCAGTCACCCAATAAGGAAGAAAGGTCCGGACGTCCGTGCCTCCCAGCCCGGTATTTCCGAAACACGTGCAGTAGCCCTGTGCACTTTCAGGGGATCCAAGGCTACATTCGCTTGCTGTTTTCTAATGGGAAGAGACCACGAGGAGGAGAAGGGATCGAGGAAGACCAACACGAGGCCGGGCTGGGGCTGGAGACCGGCCTCGAGGCCGCGGGTCCCCCAAAACTCCTCAGACCGCTGGCCTCCAGCGTTGGCTCTGGAGAGCGCCATTCGAGGAGCACATGGTCTCGGCCCACCCTGGAGGGGCTCTGCCGGACGCAGCCCGACACCAGGCCGAGTAGAGAAACGCGAACCCACCTAGGTCCATGGCGACGAAGCTGGCGGCCGGACTAGACCGCCCCTCCCACTCCGAGGCCGCGAACACGGAGCTCTCTCCACGGCACAAAGGGCGGCGCCACAGTCGCGTCACAGGGCCCGCCCACAGCTCGCCTGGCCTTCCGTGCGGCAGTACTCCGCTGCCTGGCTTCCGCTCCGTGCGCACGCGTCCTCCGTCCTTCCCAACAAGCGCGCGGCGTCGAGGTCGCCCAAGCCCACAGCGCCCCCTCTCGGCCCTAGCTTCCCAGCCGTCTACCCTCAGGTAGGTAGGCCGGCTCCTTGCAGAATCACAGCAATCTTGAGGCCAGGAGGTCCAATCCCTTAGTCCAGACTTCTGAGTCACTCTCACCCAGGAACCGCGAGCAGCTCCCGCCCACGATTCACCCCCACGGGATGGCCTTTCCCGGGCTGCCCACTAACCCGCAGTGGATCCACGGGGCTCCCCGTCCAGCCTCAGAGACACACAGAAATGCTCAAAAGCTTTTCATGCTGCACTGTCTTCTACGGGCAATAGCAACGTCAATTTTCAGCTCTCAGAGGCGCCTTTGTAACTTTGAAAGATAGTCACACTGGAACAAAGCACTGTGGGACAGAGCCAATCGAATGGATTCCTGGTCAGCAACTTGTACTTTTTCAAACACACACACACACACACACACACACACACACACACACACACACACACACACGTCCTGTGTTCTTCCCACACATTATCTTTTCTTTCCAAGGCTGATAATCATGTTTGCTTATTCTCAACTCTCTTCTAGCGCCAGGTATCACTTAGAACAGAGAGGCACACACAGCCTCTGGTGCACCGATGAGCCAAGTGGAGTTTGAAATGGCCTGCGCTTCGCTCAAGCAGCTGAAGGGTCCCTTGAGTGATCAGGAGAAACTGCTGGTGTACAGCTTCTACAAACAGGCCACCCAGGGCGACTGTAACATCCCTGTCCCTCCAGCCACAGATGTGAGAGCAAAGGCCAAATGGGAGGCGTGGAATGTGAACAAAGGGATGTCCAAGATGGATGCCATGAGGATCTATATTGCCAAAGTGGAAGAGCTGAAGAAAAACGAGGCTGGCTAAGGACATTTTGGCAGACACAAGGAAGTAGCAATGGCACCACTGGCAGGGAATGGGTTTAAGAACTCCTGATGGCTGAAACATACTGAAAGGGTAGCAAGGTTAGCGGAGACATCAATAAATCACTTGACCCGCATGAGAGTGGAGTCTGTGCAAAAGAGCACCTCTGTGAGGGCCCTGGGAAGGGGTTCAAATGTGTAAGAGCATCTCGGCTGGGGAAAGCTCCATTCGCCATGCTTTGTGTGGTCTGACTGCCATCAATAGCCTGGTCTCACAGACTATGTGGATGGATATTTGGCAGAAGCGGGGATGGGTGGGGGTGAATCATGCTATGAAAATCACCAAGGTTGGAAATGGAGGCAGAGCCTTGGATCTGTATCATCAAGGGCTGTCAACTCACCAAGAATCCAACAGTACAGAGGGGAAAGGGACTCTGCCTTCTAAAGAGCTGATGTCAAATAGAAAAGCCCTCATCTAGAACACAGGCCCAGTGAAGTATATTGATGGAGCTCAGATTTTCAGTGGCAGAGTGGTAAGATAAGTCATGCATCACAACACAGCAGCTGAGGGACAATGGAGCAAGATGGTTTCAGAATCTTAGCATCCAAAAGACTCAGCTAAGGCTTCGCAACCTAAATGTTCTTAGGATTGCTCTTCTTAACCCTGACATGTGTATAGGCACATGTGGCTCATATAAGTGCCAGGGTACCAGGGTACTCTTTGTCGATCATTTAAGCGACATCAGTGTGCTACCAGGGTGCCTACAAAGCTGACATATGAAGTGCTAGAGTTTTTGTTGTTTTGTTTTGTTTTTTGTTTTTTCGAGGCAGAGTTTCTCTGTGGCTTTGGAGGCTGTCTTGGAACTCACTCTTACAGACCAAGCTAGCCTCAAACTCACAGAGATCGCCTGCCTCTGGATAAAGGTATAAGCCACTGCCTAGCCTCTATGGCTAACTAGTGTGGCTAGCTCTGTACTCTGATCTTCATGCAAGCTTTATTTGTTAGACCATAAACATCACCACATTGTAACACAAGTTTCTAAAGGTGTTTTGTTATGGGTTATTCTGGTTTTGGGGATAGGGCCTGGCTGGTCTGGAATAAACTGTGTGAACCAGGCTGGCCTCAACTTACAGATTCATCTGCTTCTTCCTCCTGAGTGTGATTACAAGCATGAACCACCATGATAACTATAAAGTATATTTTTATCATTAAAATATTTCATTTATTATTAATGTGTGTATTCTATGTGTAGGTGTGGCAGGAGTGCGTGTGTTAAGTTTGCATGTGGAGGTCAGAATACAACTTTATGGAGTTGGTTCTCTCCTTTGACCTTTACATAGGCTCATAGGAGCAAACTCAGGTTGCCAGACTTTTGTAGGAGGTGCCATCACCACCTACAGAGCTATCTTGTGTGCCCTAAAGGTTTTTTGGGTTTGTTTTTGAGACAGGGTTTCCTCTGTATAACAGCCCTAGCTGGCCTTGAACTCACAGAGATCCACGTGCCTCTGGATAAAGGTATGAGCCACCACCGCCCAGCACAAATTTTTAAATAGTCCTCCTTTCCATCCTTTTCAAAGAGCTTTAATAACAATTGTTTTTAATGACTGAAACCAACTTCCTATATCAACCCAAACAGAAAATCACCATAAAATATTTTTTTCAGGCTGAAGAAATAGTTTAATCCATCTTAAAGACTAAAACCATTTTATAAAGAAGCTAATACAGAACCAGGCACACAGAAATGTGACTCATTGAATATTTTGTTCATTAAACACTTGTAATTAAAAAAAAAAGTGGCACTAGAGAAAAAGATGCCATGTGACAGCTCACATGAAGTTTTTTTTGTTTGTTTGTTTTGTTTTTTTAATTAGAAAGGGAATGGGAAAAGGGGGGCAACTTCTGAGGACAGGAGCAGCAAAAGAAAATGGTGGGGGGGACAGACAGCAGACAGGCAGGGAAGCAGAGAGAAAGGAGAGGGGAGCAGGAGGGTAAAGGAGGGAGAAAGGTGGGTAGGGCCCCTTTAAAAGGGAACAAAGTCAATGTGCACAAGAAGTGCTCTTAGTGGCTGCAGCTGAGGGTATATTCTGTCAGAAACCCAAGGGCAGGCCAGTAAAGATGCCTGAATACTAACCAACATTTCCTGTTTTCTCTGGCTATTTAAAATATAAAATCAAGGTGAGAGCATTACCCAGATCTTTTTTATCCAAAGGGTATTTTTTCTTAAGCCTATGGATGTTTTGCCTGCATATGTCTGTGCATTATGTATATTTGGTGCCTTCAGAGGCATTAAGAGAGTGTTGATCCCTGGGGCTAGAATCACAGAGCCACCATCTGGATGCTGGGATCAAACTCAGGTCCTCTAGTAGAGTACCCAGTGCTCTTAACCACTGAGCTATCTATTCAGTCCCAGGATGAAATTTCAAACAAAACAAAACAAAAAACATCAAGCCTGGAAATGGCACACATCTATAATCCCAGCACTGGAAGCTGAGGTAGGAAGGTCAAAAACTCAAAGCCACTGGGTAAGGTGGCCTGTGCCTTTGATCCCAGCAGGAGGCAGAGGCAGGTGGGTCTAAGTGAGTTTGAGGTCAATCTAGTTGACATAGTTGCAGGCCAGCCAGGGCTACAAAGTGACACTCTGTCTCAAGCAAAAAAGAAAGTTAAAAGCTTCCTTGAGTTCTACAGTGAAGTAACATACCATTCTGTGCTATTAGACAAGACTGTCTCAAAAAGCCAGAGGAAATAGTTTCTTTAAATGTCAAGGTTTTCTATGGTAAGATCCACCAGGACCTGGAAACATAAGCTCTTTAAGCAGTTGGTTTGGCTTCTTTTGATTTGTGTTGTTTGGGACAGGGTTTCTCTGTAGTCCTCACTGGTCTTGAACTCACAGAGATCCTCTGGTCTCTGCCTCCCAAGTGCCACAGAAACTAAAAGCATGTGTCACCATGCCCAGCTGGTTTGGCTTCATTTGAACATCTGCTCCAATATTATCTACATGATTGACAGCTAATCAAATTTCCCTCCATCCCCAGCCAAGGGTAATGTTCCATAGAGTTGTCTCAATTTGGGCAATAATTTGTTACCAAATTTAATACAATTACACACAGGAGTTCACTTCTACCAAGAGTGATAAAAATATTTCTAAAACAACAGAGCTTTGAAAAGTGAAACTACCACTTAAGCCTCCTTGTCCATGCTGGCCACAACCAAGTGGTGGGAGTATTTATCGCCTGGAGTAGTAGGTGCTGTTCTCAGATGTCGTCCATTAACCTGAAGCCTTTGGTTTATTTCTCGTGGCAAACCACTCATCACTTTTGTCTGCTGCCATTGCCTATGGAAACAGATGGACAGACATTACTCCAAGTCTGCATTCTCCACCGTGATATTAGCACTAAAGTGAGTTCACCTGTGCAGAGAATGTTGCTCACTATAACAGGAGAGCTGGTGAGCACCAAGCAGTTAGCTGGTGATTTTCACAAGCAGCTGGCAATAAGCACTGGCTGTTGATGAGAGAACAGGGACTGTGTGTGTGACTACAGGGTCCCGGGGAGAACAGGAATCTTCAATGCTTTGAGCTTGGTCTGAAACCAAGTCTAAATGAATATAGCTCAGTGATGGAGTTCTTTCCTCCAGTTCAAGCCCCAGTACTACCACCAAAAAGTGTTTGCCACAGCCAGGCACAGTGGAGCTCACCTTTAATCCCAGCACTTGGGAAGGAGAGGCATGGGGATTTCTGAGTTCAAGGCCAGCCTGGTCTATAGATCTCTTCCAGGACAGCCAGGGCTACACAGAGATACCCTGTCATAACTCAAATTCTAACTGATCTCAATAATAAAAACCCGGACTCAGACTTTAGGGGGTGAAAGCTGAAAGATTACATAAGCAGAGCAGCCAGCCACTAGAGCTCTTGCCTGTATGAAATCTCAGACCAAAAAGAGCTGAGCTCCTGTCTCTACAAATCCTCAGACTAAATGGTACTGAGTTCCTGTCTCCTCCCACCTTACATTCCCCTCTCCACCCAGTCATATCACTTCCTTTCTCCACCTCCCTAG